GATATCGATCCCTTTTTTCCGTTTACCTTAAACCGGCCGGCGTTATACCCCACCCACGTTTTTGCCTGTTCAAAAAAAATTCAATATCTTAAAGTATAAGCATCAAGGTAAATCTAAAAGATAATCTACAGTTAATAATATTTTTTTTAACTTGCCTCAAATACTAGTGTTAAACAGAAAATCAAAATAGTTTCACACTAACGGAGGGAGAAAGTCTCGATCATTAAACGCTTGTTTTGCTAAAATTGCAAAGAGCGTCGACTAATCAAGATTTTATCAATCGGAACGCCTCGCATCTCAGCTTTAAATTGACAAAAGGCGGGTACCAGTGCACCTGTCAAAAAGTTTAACAGGAGGTTGGCCAGATAAGCATCATGATGAGACGTTGTGGAGTGTTGACTCGTAAAGTATTCGGATCTATTGGTTAGTTATTAATAATTTAAACTGATGTTATTCAACAATTATTTTTTTCTTGTCAGTGTTAAACTGAAGAGCTATATAAATCTCTGTATGTTTTTCATCTAGTTTTCTGGGTTACTTATCAGTAACAAGTAACCCAGATCATTTTCAAGATACACACTTAACGTGGTTTAAGTTGATCTATGTTGATGTAGTTCTTTTGTAAATAAAATGACATTTTAAATGATGGAGCGACTTGTCAAGAGTTTTGTTTCGAAAGAGAGATGTTAAGACAAATATGGTCTTTGCAATTTAAATAACCATACAAGTACAACATTTAAGTGATAAATCTATTCTAAAGGCATGCAATTTTGTACCTTCAAACTCATGAAAGAAAACAAGATTCATTAATAATCTAATTACACTTTTAAAACATAGCTCACATATTAATTTCAGATAAAGTGAACCCAAGATGTGGGTGTGCAGCAGCCTCATCTATGCCACCATGTGACTTTAAACCAGAACCTTATACAGTATGTTTAAATCATTTTGTCTAGTGTAAAGCATCCTTTTATTTTATTGTGAAAGTGTAAATACCGAAGTAAACAGAGTTTACAAGGTCGTTTGTTTATGCAGTTCAGACAGGTGTCATGATGTTTGAACTGGATTCAGCCAGTATTGTAAATGTCAATAAATGTGTTTGACCGATATTTTATCAGGGTACTGACCTTTCAAAAACTTTTAGTGCAGGAATTTCATGTATCTAAGTTAAAATGCAGCAATTCTATATGTAAAATGAAATTAATATGCAGTAATTTCATGTGTAAATTTATATACACAAAATGATATGTAGTAATTTTATAAGTAAGTTAACATGTCAAACATAATTTTTTGGTTTTATAGATTACATGCAGTGAATTTATATGTAAAGTTTGCAATTCATCTTGTGTTTTGATTTCTAAATCATCACAAAATGTTGTAATGATCATGATACAATGCCAATTGTGTCTGTGATGATATCAAAAAGTTTGCCTCAATAAATACATCCTCATATCTATGAAAACTTGTGTAGCTTAACCATACCATATCTAATAAGATTTAGGCATAACCTTAAACTAAACATAACTACTATGTGGTTTAGTATACGGATATAGTAGCTTTTATTTTTGGCTAATATACAGATAAAGTAGCTTTTATTAGGTTGAAAATGCAGTCTAGATAAGTGACCTACTTTAAGGAATAAAGTATTTATCAGGGATTTATTGTACGTTAACAGTGTTATCTGTAGTACCATTGAAACTCAATGAAAAGTGAGATAGGCTAGTAATGTATGGGTTTCCATAATGCGTAAAGTGGTTATTCATGAACATGAGCCAGGAAAGTTTTCTGGTCTTGATTCAAGACATGTTATCTTTTTTTTAAGTTTGTATTTTGACAGGTTTAAATGTTAAATGCTGATTTTAAAATATTGCCATTTTATTTAAATGTTTTACAGTACAACAGAATAGCTGTAGGAATGATTTAGGTAAACACATTTTTATATGTGTACAGCGTAAGTCTTTCACATTGCTTAGATCTTTCCTTTCAAGATCAGCATAATCTATGTTCATTATGAAGAGTGCATATTAAATTAATATGAGACTTTGAGACTTGGTATTTATTTTAAGTATCTACTTATTAACCCAGAGTGGAATTAAACTTTTTCGCTTTTACAATGTTGCATTAAACCTTTGATTGATTGATTGATTGATTGATTATGCCACTGTTTCATTTAATGTTTGACTCATTGATTGTAACACCAGTGTTGCATTTAACATTACTAATTGATTATGCCACTGTTTCATTTAATCTTTGACTCATTGATTGTAACACCAGTGTTGCATTTAACATTACTAATTGATTATGCCACTGTTTCATTTAATCTTTGACTCATTGATTGTAACACCAGTGTTGCATTTAACATTACTAATTGATTATACCACTGTTTCATTTAATCTTTGACTCATTGATTGTAACACCAGTGTTGCATTTAACATTACTAATTGATTATGCCACTGTTTCATTTAATCTTTGACTCATTGATTGTAACACCAGTGTTGCATTTAACATTACTAATTGATTATACCAGTGTTGCATTAAATCACGGACCTTAATTGGCAATTAAGGTCCGTGATTAAACCTTTGACATAACACAATTAACCTTCAGATCTACTAAGTGATTACACCACTGTTGAATTATTGATTATGCTACAGTTGCTTTAAAACTATTTAAGCTCCACTTCTTGAAGTGAAAAGTTTGTGCTATTATCATGACCCTCTTGCCGACAGGAGTGTTGGTTAACCTTTTTGTGAAAGTCTATTTTATCAGAAACTATAAAGGTCAATTTCCCACAAACTATAAAAGCTATTCACTTTTAATGTAAATAATCATAATAGGACACCATTTCAAAATTATTTTTGCAAAGTTATTCCCCTTTTTTCAACTGGTTAACATTTTTGTTACTGTTTATTTTCTTAGAAGCTATCAATTTAGTATCAAAGTGATTCACTTCAATCTCAGTATACATGCTCACTATCAAAAAATGACACCAATTCAGAAGGGCAGATAATTCCAAAAAATCATATTTGCAAAGTAATCCCCCCTTATTTAATTTTTTTTGCTAAAATTCTCAAAGACTTTCAAAGTCAATCACTTAAAATCTGGAATTCTGGTCCAGTTTTTAAATTGGAATTGATTTTTTAAGGATTATTAGGTAACATAACTTAATGTTATTACTGATTTTTTTACTTTGAATGTCAGATGCAATCATCATGTTCATAGAAAATTTCGAAGGGGCAGATAATCTTGAAAGCAATTTTGGCTTAATTATTTCCTTTTTTGATTTAGAATATTTGCTTCTTTTTTTCCAGAAAAATATTGAAGGTATTCATTTCAACCTTGCATCAGGGCCCTCACTTTATGGGTGTAAAAATATTCCCCTAAAAAAAAAATAACATTGATAAGTATGTACATGAATTGTTAATATTGTACATGTATATGTGGCAAAAAATGCTTGAAATTACCCCATCCCCACCAAAGGGGAATTTTTTTCACCAGAGGCTGTGTGTGACATGGGAAAAGGACATGAAAATTCCCTTTAATACAGATAATATTAACTGTGCTTTCAAAAAAAGAAAGAGCAATGACTTGAAATATTTGTTGACTATCAAGGACAGGTAAGTAAGCCAAGCACTTTTGCAGAATTATACCCCCTTTTCTATGTTGCTTTAACTATCCAGCACTGAGAAAAGTGGAGTGTGCTGTCTGAGGAGAGGTCTTGTTTAATTAAAGTAAGCTCCTAAAGCAAGTTAACAGAATGAATTCATGTATAACAAACATAAGATTAATTGATTATGCCACTGTTTCATTTAATCTTTGACTCATTGATTGTAACACCAGTGTTGCATTTAACATTACTAATTGATTATACCAGTGTTGCATTAAATCACGGACCTTAATTGGCAATTAAGGTCCGTGATTAAACCTTTGACATAACACAATTAACCTTCAGATCTACTAAGTGATTACACCACTGTTGAATTATTGATTATGCTACAGTTGCTTTAAAACTATTTAAGCTCCACTTCTTGAAGTGAAAAGTTTGTGCTATTATCATGACCCTCTTGCCGACAGGAGTGTTGGTTAACCTTTTTGTGAAAGTCTATTTTATCAGAAACTATAAAGGTCAATTTCCCACAAACTATAAAAGCTATTCACTTTTAATGTAAATAATCATAATAGGACACCATTTCAAAATTATTTTTGCAAAGTTATTCCCCTTTTTTCAACTGGTTAACATTTTTGTTACTGTTTATTTTCTTAGAAGCTATCAATTTAGTATCAAAGTGATTCACTTCAATCTCAGTATACAGTCATGCTCACTATCAAAAAATGACACCGATTCAGAAGGGCAGATATTCCCAAAAAATCATATTTGCAAAGTAATCCCCCCTATTTAATTTTTTTTGCTAAAATTCTCAAAGACTTTCAATGTCAATCACTTAAAATCTGGAATTCTGGTCCAGTTTGTACATGTATATGTGGCAAAAAATGCTTGAAATTACCCCATCCCCACTAAAGGGGATTTTTTTTCACCAGAGGCTGCGTGTGACATGAAAATTCCCTTTAATACAGATAATATTAACTGTGCTTCCAAAAAAGAAAGAGCAATGACTTGAAATATTTGTTGACTATCAAGGACAGATAAGTAAGCCAAGCACTTTTGCAGAATTATACCCCCTTTTCTATGTTGCTTTAACTATCCAGCACTGAGAAAAGTGGAGCGTGCTGTCTGAGGAGAGGTATTGTTTAATTAAAGTAAGCTTCTCAAGCAAGTTAACAGAATGAACTCATGTATAACAAACTTAAGATTTTCACGATTAAATCTAAGAAGATAAGTCTATTTCCTGAATCACTCAAAAAATGTTCAAGTTTTTATATGACATGTAATTGGTAAGTATTCAATGTTACAAAATTTATTGAAGTTAAATGTAAATTGTATTATTATAAAGACAAGCTAATCACTTGAAGTATTAAAACTGTATTGATATACTGTACAGTATTATATCCACTAGATTGCAATACATGGCAGTATAATTAGAGAAATATTGCAACATGCATTAAATGTAGTGCAAACTGTAGTGAAATATCACAGTATATTGTCATTTTTTTTAGCTCGACTTTTCTATGAAAAGGGGAGCTATCCTACTCGCCCCGGCGTCGGCGTCGGCGTCACACCTTGGTTAAGTTTTTCGTACCACCCCACTTTATTTCAGAAGTATTACAAGTATGGCTTTGAAACTTACCATACTTGTTCACCATCATAACCTCCATCTAACAGACAAGAGTACATAACTCTGTCAAGGTTTTTGACAGAATTATGGCCCTTTTTTGACTTAGAAAGTGTATTGAGCTTGGTTAAGTTTTTTGTACCACCTCACTTTATTTCAAAACCATTGGGGTATTGCTTTGAAACTGACCATACTTGTTTACCATCACGACCTTTCATCAACAGACAAGAGGACATAACTCTGTCAAGGTTTTTGACAGAATTATGCCCCTTTTTGACTTAGAAAATACATTGAATATGGGTAAAATCCACTTATTGCCTTAACCCTTTGAGATATTGCTTTGAAACTTTTAATGCTATTTCACATCATTACCCCCATCTGTACGCAAGAGAAGGTAACTCTGTCAAGGATTTGTTTTAAAAATTAAGGCCTTTTATCGACTTAGAATCTTGGTTAAGTTTTTAGTACCAGTCCACTTTTTGACTGAACTGTTTGAGATATTAATTTGAAAGTTGGAATACTTGTTTACAATCATGATTCCCAAACATGTCCAGGAGAAGGTAATTCTGTCAAAGATTTTATTTGAATTATGGCCCTTAACTGTCAATGTTTTGTATTATAGGCAAGCACTAAAAAAGTCGAGCGCGCTGTCTTACGGACAGCTCTTGTTTCATCAGACATTTAGGTTTACCAATTAAATTGAGAACAAATTTTGTTTTGTATTATAGTATTTTATAACTGAGGTTTGTAATGTGTCATAGTATACTTGAATATTGCAAAATTTCTCTTGACAATATGATATTAGAGTGTATAAAACTATATATTTGCTGCAAAAAGTATCTTATATTTGTATAAGAATTCTATGAATTTTAAGAAAGTGTACTTCCAAAAAACATGTACATGTATAAAAGAATTGTGGTAGATCTACTGAATTTTATTAAAGCGATAAGCACATGCACATAATCGGTGCTAAACGGATAAATCCTTACTTAACATAGCAGAATAATACTTTAATCCGGAACAATTTAATTTTGTATACCCACAATATCAACTCTTCCGAGAATCGACCGTAAGGTTATGAAAACAATATGATCTTATTGTTGATTAATTTTATGAAAATATTTTATAATATACTGTAAGTTTAGGATAATTATTTAGTGACACATTGGTCAAGTTCACTATTACGTTGGAAAACAGTTACCATTTTGTGTTTATTATCTTTAGGCACGCAGGCTTGCCATATAAATTAAAATATCAACAAATTAATCAATTGTCAGCGTAATGCAATAGGTAAGGTTGTCAGTTAAATTTTTAGTTAAATATCAATGCAAGACTGGTTCGAATTGTACTTTTTGCAGGAAAATTATTTCTGTATATTAACAATCAAATACACATTATGATATTTTTTATTGACGTAAAGAAGTGTTAAGTGTTGTATTTATTTCTATTAACTTCTCATTTACATTTTATTTTCAAAAGTAATACCTAACAAGTTGGTACAACCTTGAATACTAAATGGAATGAATACATGTACACATATTTTTAGCTCACCTGAGCATATGCTCAGGGTGAGCTATTAGGATCACTCTTTGTACTGTCGTCCCGTCGTACGTTGGTCCGGGTTGCCGTTCACCACTTTTCAAACGACATCTCCTCTGAAACCATAAGGCAGAATCATAATGAAAACGTTCACAGGGATGTTCCTTGTGTGAAGCCTTAACAAACTTGTTCAAAGAAATTCCATTCCATGCACTCTGGTTGCCATGGCAACCAAAAAGAAAAAACTTTAAACATCTTTCTTCTAAAAAACCCAAAGAGCTAGAGCTTAGATATTTGGCATGAAACATCTTCTAGTGAGTGTCTAACCAAAATTGTTCAATAAAAGCCCTGGGGTCAAAATTGGGCCCCGCCCCAGGGGGGTCATTTTGATTTTTCCCTATATGCATATAGTAAAAAACTTAAAAAAATCTTCTTTTAAAGAACCCAAAGAGCATAGAGCTAAGATTATTAAGCATGAAACATCTTCTAATGAGTGTCTACCAAGATTGTTCAAATAAAAGCCCTGGGGTCAAAATTGGCCCCGCCCCAGGGGGTCATTGGATTTTCCCTATATGCATATAGTAAAAATTTTTAAAAAATCTTCTTCTAAAAAAAACCCAAAGAGCTAGAGCTTGGACGTCTACCAAGTTTGTTCAAAAAAAAGCCCTGGGGTCAAAATTGGCCCCGCCCCAGGGGGTCATTGATTTTTCCCTATATGCATATACGTAAAAACTTTGAAAAAAAACCCAAAGAGCTAGAGCTTGGATGTCTACCAAGTTTGTTCAAAAATAAAAGCCCTGGGGTCAAAATTGGCCCCGCCCCAGGGGGTCATTTTGATTTCCCTATATGCATATAGTAAAAACTTTAAAAAATCTTCTTCTTAAAAAACCCAAAGAGCTAGAGCTTAGATATTTGGCATGAAACATGTTCTAATGGATGTCTCCAAGTTTGTCCAAAATAAAAGCACTGGGGCCAAAATTGGCCCCGCCCTTAAGCGGGGGTCATTGATTTTCCCTATATGCATATAGTAAAAAACTTAAAAAATTCTCTTAAGAACCAAAGAGCTAGAGCTAAGATATTAAGCATGAAACATCTTCTAAATCAGTGTCTACCAAGTTTGTTCAAATAAAAGCCCTGGGGTCAAAATTGGCGTCCGCCCCAGGGGGGGGGTCATTGATTTTCCCTATATGCATATAGTAAAAACTTAAAAAAATTCTTTTAAAGAAACCCAAAGAGCTAGAGCTAAGATATTTAGCATGAAACATCTTCTAATGGTTGTCTACCAAGTTTGTTCAAATAAAAGCCCTGGGTCAAAATTGGCCCGCCCCAGGGGGGTCTTTGATTTTCCCTATATGCATATAGTAAAAAATTTAAAAAAATCTTCTATTAAAAAGAACCCAAAGAGCTAGAGCTAAGATATTTAGCATGAAACATCTTCTAATGAGTGTCTACCAAGTTTTTTCAAATAAAAGCCCTGGGGTCAAAATTGCCCCCCCCCAGGGTCATTGATTTTCCCTATATAACATGTAGTAAAAACTTAAAAATCTTCTTTTAAAGAACCAAAGAGCTAGAGCTAAGATATTTAGCATGACACATTCTTCTAATGGGTGTCTACCAAATTTGTTCAAATAAAAGCCCTGGGGTCAAAATTGGCCCCGGGGCCCCAGGGGTCATTGATTTTCCCATAATACATAGAGTAAAAACTTAAAAATCTTCTATTAAAGAACCCAAAGAGCTAGAGCTAAGATATTTACGCATGAAACATGTTCTAATAGATGTTAACCAAGTTTGTTCAAATAAAAGCCCTTGGGTCAAAATGGCCTGCCCTAGGGGGTCATTGATTTTTCCCTATATTGCATATAGTAATTAAAAACTTAAAAATCTTCTTTTAAAGAACCCAAAGAGCTAGAGCTAGATATTTAGCATGAAACATGTTCTAATGGGGTGTCCTACCAAGTTTGTTTCAAATAAAAAGCCCTTGGTTAAAATTGGCCCTGCCCAGGGGGAGGGGGGGGGGGGGGGGCAAAGTCATTGTTTTTTCATTATTTGTGTATAGTAAAAACTTAACATCATGAAACATCTTCTAATGGGTGTCCCCTTCCAAGTTTGTTCAAATAAAAGCCCTTTGGTTTAAACTGGCCCACCCTGGGGGCCTATGTACAGGTGAGCGACCCCAGGGCCATCATGGCCCTCTTGTTCAACTATAGTTTAGATGGCACGAAATTCTCGTGCACTGAGCTAGTACTATGACTAGTACTGCATACTACACACTTCACAGGATAAAAAAATATTATTATATGTTTCTGTTAATTAGAAAATATAACAAAACTACCTTAATTTTCCAACTCATTCGCATCTTTAGTAAAATGAAAAAAAAAAGATAGGAAAAACATAAAAAAGACAAATGGTGAGACTCAAACTCTTGAAAAGAAAAAGATGTGTTGCATCCAAATGGCTTTACCAACTTTGCCATCTAGACGTTTCGTATTTGATTTCTTATCTTGTATTATATACGCTTTTAAAAAACCTGTTTTATGTATGCAGACAAAGATTGCCAACTCTTTTTTTTGTACACAAAAAAATGCAATGTTACTCTCACATAATCATAGCCGCACAGTATAGCTTTATACCCTTCAAGTATACGAAAGATTAAATTACATTTGTATATTGTAGTCTGGTTGTTTATATAGTACACAGCCCTTATAGAATGTTTTAGAATTAATTTAGATATTAGTTTTTGAGAAAATATATGAGTTATTATAACCAAGTTATTTTGAACTGCCTTTTTTTCCATTAATTTTACATCCTTCTTAAACCTATTAATATATATTTCAAAACACAATAGTAGAATCAGCTTTTTGTAATAGTAGAATCAGCTTAAAAAAAGTTTTCTTTATAAAATTATAAGTGATCTTGGTCTAAGTTATCATTTATAGGAAGTGATAATTATCTTTACTTTAGCTATTTATTATTTTTAGGGGATAAGTTTTGAAGATGCGTCCAAAGTGCGGAAAGAAAACCTGTCACCAGCCTTGTTTACATACTACAAGAAACCGGTGATGATTCATCAAGGTCACATGCAATGGTTGTATGACACTGATGGTAAACGATACCTAGATTTGTTCGGAGGCATTGTTACTGTCAGCGTCGGACACTGTCATCCGTATGTTACATTAGTAATTCTTATATGCATGTACATGTACACTTTTCATATCAAGGGTTGACCGCAAAACTGCAGTAACATATATTCAATAAAGAAGGACTTACAACAGTTTTGCGGTCAACCTTTGATGTGTAAATCATTTAAAACATAACATACTTGCAGTATATGTCCCTGCATGAATTAACACATGATAATGTACCCATGTTTTTTTTCTATCATCCATTACTATATGATGAGATTTAATGAAATTTAATTTCATGTTTGGCTGCATTAGCATTTCTGTCTAATACATGTATTAAATTGATTTTTTTACTGGTTGGAGAGATAACTCTGACGCATAGATAACCACAACACTTGGTTTAATATTTTGATTTATCTTTTTTTTTTGTCAACAACAAGCACAAGTCATGGTCACCAGTAGTAATAAAGGAGAAGGACAGACTGGAATGAGATTTTTTTTAATTTGGTAAACTTATAAATGTGTTTATGTTTACCACAATTTTTTGTACAAAAATGGCCACAAAACGTTCTTTTTACTTATTTTCCAGCTTGTAGTTAGAATTGTCTTGAACACAGGCTACTGACATGGGGAAATTTCTTTAAAAAATTGTTAAATTATCAATTAGGCATAGATAAAGCATATAAAATGTAAAAACAACTGATTTATTCTAATTTTCAAGCTATTTTTAGCTCGACTATTCGATAAGAATAAGTAGAGCTATTGTAGTCACCCGAGCGTCGGCGTCGGCGTTGGTGTCCGCGTCGGCGTAACCACTTATGTTAAAGTTTTTGTAATAGTTCAAATATTTTCAAAGTCCATTGACATATGGCTTTGAAACTTGGCACACTTGTTCACCATCATGACCCCAACCTGTAAACAGGAGGAGGTAACTGTATCAAGCATTTTGACAGAATTATGCCCCTTTTTCGACTTAGAATTTACGTTAAAGTTTTTGTAATAGTTCAAATATTTTCAAAGTCCATTGACATATGGCTTTGAAACTTTGCACACTTCTTCACCATCAATTCATGATCCTAACCTGTAGACAGGAGGTGGTAACTGTATCAAGCATTTTGACAGAATTATGTCCCCTTTTTTTGAACTTAGAATTTACGTTAAAGTTTTTGTAATAGTTCAAATATTTTCAAAGTCCATTGACATATGGCTTTGAAACTTGGCACACTTTTTAACCATCATGACCCCAACCTGTAGACAGGAGGAGGTAACTGTATCAAGCATTTTGACAGAATTATGCCCCTTTTTTCGACTTAGAATTTACGTTAAAGTTTTTGTAATAGTTCAAATATTTTCAAAGTCCATTGACATATGGCTTTGAAACTTTGAACACTTGTTCACCATCATGACCCCAACCTGTAAAGAGGAGGAGGTAACTGTATCAAGCATTTTGACATAATTATGCCCCTTTTTCGACTTAGAATTTACGTTAAAGTTTTTGTAATAGTTCAAATATTTTCAAAGTCCATTGACATATGGCTTTGAAACTTTGCACACTTGTTCACCATCATTACCCCAACCTGTAAACAGGAGGAGGTAATTGTATCAAGCATTTTTTTTTACTATCAAGCACTAAGAATAGTCGAGCGTTGCTGTCCTACTGACAGCTCTTGTTTATTTTAGTGTTGACTTTATCTACTGTCCAGGGTTAAAACGACCATGTTTCAAATACCTTATTCAATAAAGGAAATTTGCATATGATTATAAATGTTTGATCTGAACTTTGTTTAGGTGGGTAAACATTTAAAATATACACAAAAATAAAGTTATTTTAAAAAAATAGTGATTTAGTGTTGAAGTTATCTCTCCAACCAGTATGCAGTTTATTTTCATTTTTTTTATGAATCCTTTCTAATCTTGTTTCAAATCATTTAGGCCATAAATAATATACATGTATTAAGTTATTAACAAGATCTTGTTAAAATGTATAGTTTTCAAAAAGACAGTTATGCCCCTTTGCTTGTTTGAATAAATAAAACTATTGTTATGATATTGAAAGTAGAAAACTCCTGAAGAAATGTAAATTGTCAGATGACTTATCTTCTTATAAATTGTATTTGTGTGGCCATTATCTCTAAATTGATGAAAACGATTGTAAATATTAAGGTAACTTTTTTTCATCTGTTGTTAGGAAAGTGAATGCTGCTGCAGAAAAACAGATGAAGAAATTATGGCACACAACAAATATATACATGCACCCAACAATACATGAATATGGCCGGAAACTGGCGGAGAAAATGCCGGGAAATCTGAAGGTTTGTGTTCGAATTGTTTCAAATTAGTATTATCTTATAAGTACCTAATCTCACACCCAACCTATTCTCAAACCCTTCATTCATGTGCTGTTATTTTTTTACTAGAAGTGACTATGATGTCCTGAACATGTGGGCATAAAAGCTTAGTTTCTGACAGACATATGTGCTGATGTCAAATGAAAACAGTGCATAGGAACAAATATTTACATAACATATTTTATTACTTAGCGTAATTTCATACAAATTGCTATTACCTTTGTAAGTCCCATAAATACACCATTAACTATTTGTGAAAATGAATATTATAGACAAAAATAACTTAAAGCAGGTACCTGCATCGTGTAGGGTACTTAATTGTCATGTGATAGTCATATAACAATCACTTCATAGTCATATAACAATCACTTCATTGGCTAAACTAAACAGTAGAATTTTAGAGATACTTGAAGGGGTTTGAGATTAGGTTCTTTATTTTAAGAGGTCATGTCAGTTTTAAAACAGAGGGTTGTGCTTTTCCAAAACGGAAATAGAGCTTTTTTAACAGTTCAAATTCAGTCAAATTTTACAGAAATGTTACATAAAGATTAAAAAGTGTACATATGTAACAATTTTTATAAAGATATATTTTATTTACACTAAAAGACCTCTTGAATGCTTAGGGGTTTGAGAACTGGTTAGTCCACGATATATCATCTGTCTATCCTTTAAAACCACATACCTATATAAGTAAAAATATGCTAGCTTCCACACAGTCAATTTCATTAAATTATATGACGAGACTTAAGAAATGTTTAAATATTAACAATTTAATTCCTGTTTTACCAAATGTGACTGAATTGACTATTTTTATGAACATGTATCCACCCCATTACTGACAGAATAAGGGATATTTTCGTATGTTTTGACACATTTTGATTAATTTATTTGGCTTGTTAGTGCTGTAAGCTAGCTCAGATTTGTTGTTTACTTGACAATATTGTACTACAAAAAACTTTTTTGAATTTTTGTTGGAAAAATACAATAGTATATATGTACTATAAACACAACAATTTTTTGTAAGGAAAAAAATATCTGCTTGATTACATGATTGTATTGATTGATGAGATATTAATTGGACATATGAGGAATTAATTGACAAAAAATATCATGTTTTTACAAATAGGGTATAAATATAGGAGCAGTTGTCTAGTGGTAACACTGACTACAAATCCAGGGGCCACTACTCTAACTAAAGTTACCAACAACTCTTACAAATGAGACTTTAACAATCTTGTTCCATGTAATAATGCTACATGTCTCTGTATCCATCGCATTATGCTACAATATTTAAATAACAACAGTCTTTAAAACACTCCGTCTTCCGAGTGTTTTGCCTTTGTGGGTTTTTGTTTGTGACTAAGATTAACTTAAATGTTGTTATATTTTTCCGGTCCTTTGGGATAATTGATTCCAGCATTTCTAAGTCTTGAAAATTAAGAACCCCCTCAAGTCCGTGCTTGGGGATGTGAGAGATGTTGCACTTTTGCTTTATCTCTCATGTACAGACTCATTCGTACTGAGTCTGCAATTTTTATTTGATTTTGTTGTGATGAATGCTTCCGAGGATCTATTTTTTTCCAGATTTTTATATTGTTCACACAGAATTTGGTACAAGGACCATAATAATATAAAGTATTTTGAGTTTATTTTAGGTGATATATTTTACCAACAGTGGGTCAGAGGCTAACGATTTAGCACTGTTGATGTCCAGAATGTATACTGGGGTATTTGAAGCTGTATCTCTTAGGTAAGTTAATGTTATACCTTTCTTAAGCTCACCTGTCACATAGTGACGGCTTGAGCTTTTACGATTGTTGTTCACTAATTTGTCAGGTTAACAAAATAATTTGTTTTTAAGATTAATTGAAATCATGTTTTTAAGGTACTCGAAAATAAAATAGGTGATCAGTATTGATAAAAATGCTTGATAGTTAGCTTCAATAGTTGAACTTCTTTTTGATGTCAGAACTTCCTTCTTTGTTTATTGCAAATTCTAAAATCTCCCTCTTTTTGAAGAAAAATCTACCACTTTATCATCGAAAAAAGTTCATATGTATGTAGTTCTCTTTGGTAATCTCTGGTAATCTGCTTTTCATTGTATATTACTTAAATTAAACCAATATTATATATACTTATTTAGAATTTCATTTCAGAAGGTAAACCTATTAATTCAATGTCCATGTTTCTTATAGAAATGCTAAATTTAATTTTAACACTTCATCTTTTATTTTCATGGTTTGCCTCATCTATAGTCTGGCTAAGAATTTGGCAGAAATACTGATTTAAGTGGTTTATTTGACATGTCTGTTATATATAATGGTTGATATAATGACATTATAACTGTTGTTTATTTATAGGAATGCCTACCATGGAGCTAGTCCCTATCTGATGGGTCTTACAGCTTTGAATACATGGAGGTTTAATAGTCCAACAGGGTTTGGTTTACATCAGGTATGTTTTTGTTCAAAACACTTGCTTTACATAATATAAGATAAATCAACCAATTACTGAAAAAAAATAGAAAGAAGGGAAAATGATGGTTTATTTATTAATGAGGCTATCTTTCATTAACTTACACCTTGTACATATCTTAGGTTGGTTTAATTACTTGGTGAACAGACACCTGCCACCTGTATAGATCTAGGCTATCCTACACAACCATACAGTCAGACCAGCCCCCAATCTTATAATGAAATTTTCCAGACTCAGATCTCATGTAATTGATTAATCTGAAAGTGACACAGAATACAGTGTTCATTTAAAATCCTAAGATTTGAGACAAAACGTTTTATAACTGCTAGGGCAGGCTCTGTGCAGTTGACATTTAAATGTTATGTGCTATTGAGATGTTGTTACTGTATGAACAAATCAAAATTGTGATTGAGAAATTCGTAATGTTTTATGTTCTAGGGTAGTATCAGGTATACCTGTACAGTTAAGGTTATGATAATGAATATTCTGTAATTCAATTTTATTGTTTATATGGTATATTAACAGTCTTTTTTGTCTTCTAGTTATAGGCAATGTTAACAATATTTTAATAATAAGTGAAGATTAACAAAATAAGCTGTGAGATATTACATGTGTGCTAAATTATAATAATATTAACAAATGTGACAATAAAATATAGGAAATGTATAAAATGTATCATGTATTTAAACAAAGATAATATAATCAATGATGCATTCACTTTACAGTCAATGAACCCTGATCCATTTAGGGGACCATGGGGAGGAAAAAATTGTAGAGATTCTCCAGCTCAGGTATGTTATATGTGTGTAGCATTTATAATACAATCTGAGATTTAGATTTCAGAGCCTTTGATTGGTCATTCATTTATTTGCACTGTTTTGGTTTTTTTATGTTTGTTTTGTGAATGAATTCTATTTAAGTTATTAAGTTCAGATATCTGTTGATTATTTAATCATATTATTTCCTATCACTAGACAATCAAACTTTTAAATGCCTTTTTTTTTCTTTTTTAAATGAATATATAAATTTATTATAACAAGTTCAAATATATGTTGATCTATTATTTATTCTTGTTATATCATATCAACAGACAATTCGAGATTGTGATTGTGCAGCTGGAGAATGTAAAGCAGGTGACATGTACCTGGATCAACTAGAAGATGTTCTCAGGTTCTCTATGCCTAAAGGCAAAATAGGAGCTTTCTTTGCTGAATCTATACAGGTAGAAAGTGATACAACTTTAATTGCTGATTTTATCTGAACTATTTACTTGTTTGATTCATTTCATCAAATCAGTTGACAATTCGATAACTTTGTTGTCATCATCACAATTATATAGTAAAAATATGATGTTGTTATGCTCCCCGAAAAATTTCAGGGGAGCATATAGTCGCCGGGTTGTCCATCAGTCCGTCTGTAAGTACGTCCCGAGTTCGTGTCCGGCCCATAACTCTGTTATTTGAAGTTGGATTTTAAAACTATTTCACAGAAATGATAACCATATTAAAACGACGTGTCGCGCGCAACATTTGGGTCGCTACCTTGAAGGTCAAGGTCACAGCATGACCTTGCAGCAAAATTGTGTCTGGCCCATAACTTCGTTATTTGAAGTTGCATTTTATACAACTATTTCACAGAAATGATCACCATATTGAGACATTGTGATGCGTGCAACATTTTAGTTGTTTTTACACTTTGAACTTTGTGTGTGACATTACTCTGACACTACTAGAGGTATACCTTCCTGTGTCCAAAACCTATTCAGGGAGCATCACCCAGTTTAACTGGCTCTTGTTTTGGTTATTTTTGGGGCTGCTGTTGAAATAAGACTTTTCTTGTCTTGATCATAGTTGTTTTGATATGTTTGTTTTACCATGTTTATACCAGATAATATGACACAGTTCACAAAGATCTCCAATATGTTATAACATTTCCTTAGCCTAAGTAATCATGGTCCTTTAAATTCAGGAAACGATTTTTCTGTTCAAGGCATGTTTATAACTAGAAAATATTAAGCTGTTTCTAACATCATGATTTATTTTAATACATTAATAATCAGCAAATTAATAATTGTATCTATTTGTTATGTTATGTGTTTTAATAAATTTAGTTCTTCTGATGAAGGCTCAAGATGGCTGAAAGCAAAAAAGATTAATAACTTAACATCCTTACACCTACACTGGTGTTTGTGATGTTTCTCTATGAACCTTTTATACATGTGTTGAATTTTAGCATTTGAACAAAATGAACATCATTTTATTAGTATAATAAATTTTAGGGAGTTGGAGGAACTGTGCAGTTTCCAAAGAATTTCTTGAAGAGAGCATTTGAGAAAGTGAGGGCCTTGGGTGGAATATGCATATCTGATGAGGTATAAAAAAAATTCTCTTCTAATACTCTGTAGTAGTACATTGATTGTATAATACACTGTTGTGAGTAAAACTATATTTCCAATAATGCTTTGTCCTGATTATAAAAGTTTCCCCAAAATTCACAGAGGGGTATTCAAAGTTGCCATAAGAGTGTTTGTATGACTAATGTCTCACTCAATTTATATTAGATTAAACATCCAAATTCTTTAGGTGTTTTTATCTGTGAATCATAATTCATTTATTTAGCTCAAGGGACATACTTCAGAGCTGAACAGTTTCTACTGAAAACACATTTCTACCACTTCAGATCATTCAAGTGTTGTTAAGTTGATAGTTTATTATATTTGCAGAATCTTTAAATATAAGTCAGATTGCATGCTGTTCAGAATTGAAATACAACAAGTTTTAATGTATAATATTTTCAGGTACAGACAGGGTTTGGGAGAACGGGAACTCATTACTGGGGCTTCGAGGGTCATGGTGTTATTCCAGATATTGGTATGATATTTACAGGGAATTTTATTATATTCTGCATTTGAAGTGCCTGGGTTTGAATGACATCTATGTTTTTATCTATTTTTTGATTATGAAATGAATGATATAATTCTTTTCTCATTCTTCTGAATATCCCATTTTAAAAGATAGGTTTTGGGGGTTGAAAAAGTCAAAAGACATTACCTTAAGTAGTTTTATCCACATTTTATATGATTTCTTACTGCTTCAAATTTAACCTTTCCCTTGTTAAATTTTTCTATGTATTCATGGAAAAAATGTTATTGAACAAAGGCTTGTATCTGCTTATGGTAATTTTTCATGTTTATCATATTCCACCAAATATGATCTATAAACCAATTTCGTGAAGTAAAAGGTGATTGTATTGTAATATGTAATTATATGTTAATATAGTTACTATGGCAAAGGGTATAGGAAATGGTTACCCTATGGCAGCGGTGATTACAACCCCTGAGATAGCAGCTGGTATGGGGAAAGCTTTACATTTTAACACATTTGGAGGTAACCCTGTAGCTTCCGCAGTAGGTGCAGCTGTTCTTGATGTAAGTTGTTTCATAAAATATATAATTTAGGATCTCATTATGAATGTAACCTTCGTCATATTACCTAAACTGTAATGGTGCGCCTTAAAACCAAACATTTAAATGAACCTTACCATTACAAGTATTTGATGTAGACAGTTTGTTAATAACCAAAAGTGTGACAATAAAATGCTTTGTAAGATAGAGGTGAAAGTAAGAACAGTGCAAGCATCTTGAAATGATAAATGATAAAATGCTTTGGTCATATGATAATTTTTAAGTAGTAAATAGTATTACATAAACTTAAAAAAGTTTCTCGTAAAATACAGAAGACTTTTAACTGTTCTGTATTAGGTTATTCACCAGATATATATACTGTACAGTGTAGATATGATGTTCAATAGCAAGTAAGTTAATTTATTTTCAGATATGATATAATCTATATATTATAGGTCATCGATGAGGAAAATATTCAACAGAATGCCCATGTTGTAGGAACATACTTTATTGAAGAGCTTGCCAAGTTGAGAGATCAGTTTGATACTGTAGGCGATGTTAGAGGAAAAGGTCTTATGATTGGTATAGAAATGGTCAAGGATAAGGTATTCATTCACCTCGTTGGTTATCCATTAGCCTGCATCAGTATAACAGAATTTGTCCGTGTGACTAGTGCAGACCAAAATCAGCCATCATGTCAGTCTGATCATGGTCTGCACTGTTTGTTACCGAGTCATCACATATTTTGAAACTTTTCCTAAATATGGTGACTGCTTTTGTGCATATTAAAAGATTGGCAAGTCCATTTAGAATTTTTAGCTTGATAAAGGTTACAGTTGTGTGACTGGTTGTTCAATATTAATTTTGATACCACTTCTCACTATTTCATACCATTTTCTGATTCAATATAAGTAAACTGTGACATAACTTTCTTGGTATTTAAATTCTTGCTAAGTTACTAATGGACACAGAAAATGTTTTAAAATATATAACTGTCAGTCATCTTTGATTATAGTAGACCTTTACATTTTAAATTTTTAAGACTGACAATTTTAGATTTTTATTTCAAATTTTGAATGTGCCTCCTTATCTACCTAATTCAATTTAAAATTTAAATGTTCAAAATTTAAATGTATCCATATTTGGCTGTTTAAATCAATATAATGTTGTGCTCATGACATTAAAGGGAGCTTATTTATGATTATTGAAATTTTACATGTATAGTCTCCCTTCCCCCTTTCTGAACAATTGCTTCCATAATAACTTTCTTATATACATATTCTATTTTCTCATTGAACTTTTTGGAAAAAAAATTATTTAAATTAACTTCAAACTGTTTTTTTAGCTCACCTGTCACAAAGTGACAGGGTGAGCTTTTGTGATCGCTTTTCGTCCGTCCGTCCAGCATCCGTCCGTCGTCCGTAAACTTTTACTTTAAATGACATCTCCTCATAAACCGCTGAGCCAATTTCATCCAAACTTCACAGGAATGTTCCTTTGGTGGTCACCTTTAAAAATTGTTCAAAGAATTTAATTCCATGCAGAACTCTGGTTGCCATGGCAACCGATAGAAAAAACTTAAAATATCTTCTTTTAAAAAACCCAAAGAGGTAGAGCTTAGATATTTGGCATGAAACATCTTCTAGTGAGTGTCTATCAAGTTTGTTCAAATAAAAGCCCTGGGGTCAAAATTGGCCCCGCCCCAGGGGGTCATTGATTTTCCCTATATGCATATAGTAAAAACTTAAAAAATCTTCTTTTAAAGAACCCAAAGAGCTAGAGCTAAGATATTTAGCATGTAACATCTTCTAATGGGTGTCTACCAAGTTTGTTCAAATAAAAGCCCTGGGGTCAAAATTGGCCCTGCCCCAGGGGTTCATTGATTTTCCCTATATGCATATAGTAAAAACTTATAAAATCTTCTTTTAAAGAACCCAAAGACCTAGAGCTAAGATATTTAGCATGAAACATCTTCTAATAAGTGTCTATCAAGTTTGTTCAAATAAAAGCCCTTGGGTCAAAATTGGCCCCGCCCCAGGGGGTCATTGATTTCCCTATATGCATATAGTAAAAACTTAAAAAATCTTCTTTTAAAGAACCCAAAGAGCTAGAGCTAAGATATTTAGCATGAAACATGTTCTAATGGGTGTCTACCAAGTTTGTTCAAATAAAAGCCCTGGGGTCAAAATTGGCCCCGCCCCAGGGGGTCATTGATTTTCCCTATATGCATATAGTAAAAACTTATAAAATCTTCTTTTAAAGAACCCAAAGAGCTAGAGCTAAGATATTTAGCATGAAACATCTTCTAATAAGTGTCTACCAAGTTTGTTCAAATAAAAGCCCTGGGGTCAAAATTGGCCCCGCCCCAGGGGTTCATTGATTTTCCCTATATGCATATAGTAAAAACTTATAAAATCTTCTTTTAAAGAACCCAAAGACCTAGAGCTAAGATATTTAGCATGAAACATCTTCTAATAAGTGTCTATCAAGTTTGTTCAAATAAAAGCCCTTGGGTCAAAATTGGCCCCGCCCCAGGGGGTCATTGATTTCCCTATATGCATATAGTAAAAACTTAAAAAATCTTCTTTTAAAGAACCCAAAGAGCTAGAGCTAAGATACTTAGCATGAAAGATGTTCTAATGGGTGTCTACCAAGTTTGTTCAAATAAAAGCCCTGGGGTCAAAATTGGCCCCGCCCCAGGGGTTCATTGATTTTCCCTATATGCATATAGTAAAAACTTATAAAATCTTCTTTTAAAGAACCCAAAGAGCTAGAGCTAAGATATTTAGCATGAAACATCTTCTAATAAGTGTCTATCAAGTTTGTTCAAATAAAAGCCCTGGGGTCAAAATTGGCCCCGCCCCAGGGGGTCATTGATTTCCCTATATGCATATAGTAAAAACTTAAAAAATCTTCTTTTAAAGAACCCAAAGAGCTAGAGCTAAGATACTTAGCATGAAAGATGTTCTAATGGGTGTCTACCAAATTTGTTCAAATAAGAGCTCTGGGGTTAAAATTGGCCCTGTCCCGGGGGTCATTGATTTTCCTTATATGTGTATTGCAAAAGCTTTTTAAAAAAATCTTCTTTAAAAAAACCCAAATAGCTAGAGTTTAGATATTAAGCATGAAACATCTTCCAGTTAGTGTCTTCAAAGTTTGTTCAAATAAAAGCCCTAGGGTCAAAATTGGCCCTGCCCTGGGGGGACATAAATTTTCCTTATATGTGTATAGCAAAAACTTAAAAATCTTCTTTGAATAAAAACAAATAGCTAGAGTTTAGATATTAAGCATGAAACACCTTCTAGTGAGTGTCTTCAAAGTTTGTTCAAATAAAAGCCCTGGGGTCAAAACTGGCCCCGCCCTAGGGATGTCATTGCTTTTAACTATATGTGTATAGTAAAAACTTAAAAATCTTTTTTTTAAAAACTCAACGAGCTAGACCTAAGATGTTTAGCATGAAACATCTTCTAATGGGTGTCTACCAAGTTTGTTCAAATAAAAGCCCTGGGGTTTAAACTGGCCTCGCTCTGTGGGCCTATATACAGGTGAGCGACTTCAGGGCCATCATGGCCCTCTTGTATCTATAATATGATGCATTTTGCGAATACAATGGGGTTTAATTAAATTTTACGGAATGAGGTAAATAAAAAAATCAGAGAATGTTATGAAATATATTCTTATGATTTAAAACCTTGTTTGTTTATTTATCACTTTTGATTTGAATACATGATTTTGTTGAGTTATTGAATAGTTGCAAGTTATTTAGCTTTAATTATCTATAATTGAGCCGTGTCACGACAAAACCAACGTAATGCGTTTGTGGCCAGCATGGATCCAGACCAGCCTGCGCATCTGCGCAGTCTGATCAGGATCCATGCTATTCGCTGTCATTTTCTCTATTTGTTATAGGTTTTATAAGCAAACAGCATGGATCCTGATCAGACTGCGTGGATGCGCAGGCTGGTCTGGATCCATGCTGGTCATAAACGCATTATGTTGGTTTTGTCATGGCGCGGCTCAATTAATTTATTCTGCACCAGGTATCTAGAGATCCCCTGCCAGGTGATAAGATTGCAGATATATGGGAGGACATGAAAGATGATGGTGTTCTAATGGGGAAAGGTGGTCTCTATGGAAATGTAAGCATTATTAAATTATCTGTAAAGAATAATCATATTCTGTGTAAAGAATAATTATATTCTATGTAAAGAATAATCAAATTCTGTGTAGTAAAGAATAATCAAATTCTGTGTATAGAATAATTAAATTCTGTGTAAAGGAATTAACTGTGGAGAAGTATTTGGTTTTTTTAGCTCACCTGTCACAAAGTGACAGGGTGAGCTTTTGTGATCGCTTTTCGTCCGTCGTCCGTCCGTAAACTTTTGCTTTAAATGACATGTCCTCATAAACCACTGAGCCAATTTCATCCAAACTTCACAGGAATGTTCCTTTGGTGGTCACCTTTAAAAATTGTTCAAAGAATTTTATTCCATGCAGAACTCTGGTTGCCATGGCAACCAAAAGAAAAAACTTTAAATATCTTCTTTTAAAAAACCATAAGAGCTAGAGCTTAGATATTTGGCATGAAACATCTTCTAGTGAGTGTCTACCAAATTTGTTCAAATAAAAGCCCTGGGGTCAAAATTGGCCCCGCCTGGGGGGGTCATTGATTTTCCTATATGCATATAGTAAAAACTTAAAAAATCTTCTTTTAAAGAACCCAAAGAGCTAGAGCTAAGATATTTAGCATGAAACATGTTCTAATGGGTGTCTACCAAGTTTGTTCAAATAAAAGCCCTGGGGTCAAAATTAGCCCCGCCCCTGGGGGTCATAGATTTTCCCTATATGCATATAGTAAAAACTTAAAAAATCTTCTTTTAAAGAACCGTAAGAGCTAGAGCTTAGATATTTGGCATGAAACATCTTCTAGTGAATGTCTACCAAGTTTGTTCAAATAAAAGCCCTGGGATCAAAATTGGCCCCGCCCCAAGGGGTCATTGATTTTCCCTATATGCATATAGTAAAAACTTAAAAAATCTTCTTTTAAAGAACCCAAAGAGCTAGAGCTAAGATATTAAGCATGAAACATCTTCTAGTGAGTGTCTACCAAGTTTGTTCAAATTAAAGCCCTGGGGTCAAAATTGGCCCCGCCCCGGGGGGTCATTGATTTTCCCTATATGCATATAGTAAAAACTTAAAAAATCTTCTTTTAAAGAACCATAAGAGCTAGAGCTAAGATATTTAGCATGAAACATCTTCTAATGAGTGTCTACCAAGTTTGTTCAAATAAAAGCCCTGGGGTCAAAATTGGCCCCGCCCCAGGGGGGTCATTGATTTTCCCTATATGCATATAGTAAAAACTTAAAAAATCTTCTTTTAAAGAACTCAAAGAGCTAGAGCTAAGATATTTAGCATGAAACATGTTCTAATGGGTGTCTACCAAGTATGTTCAAATAAAAGCCCTGGGGTCAAAACTGGCCCCCCGGGGGTGGGGGGTCATTGATTTTCCTTATATGTGTATAGCAAAAACTTAAAAATCTTCTTTGGAAAAACCCAAATAGCTAGAGTTTAGATATTAAGCATGAAACATCTTTAAATAAATATCTACAAAGTTTGTTAAAATAAAAGCCCGGGGGTCAAAACTGGCTCTGCCCCAGGGGTGATATTGTTTTTAACTAATATATGTGTATAGTAAAAACTTTAAAAATCTTCTTTTAAAAAAGCCAATGAGCTAGAACTTAGATGTTTAGCATGAAACATCTTCTTATGGGTGTCTACCAAGTCTGTTCAAATAAACAAATAAAAGCCCTTGGGTAAAAATTGGCCCGGGGGTGGGAGGGGGGCCTATATACAGGTGAGCGACCTCAGGGCCATCATGGCCCTCTTGTTAAGATATGTTACATTGTCTTATTTAAGATTTAAATTTTCAACAGAAAATTAGAAAACAGAAATTAGTTGTTGAATTTTGACAGGTGAGGTGGTCAGGCATAAACTATTTGTTTTGTTCACAACACTTGTATTTCATAAGGAATTTAAACTTAACTTTCACGGAATGATAATTAAAATAAGTTGGGTACAGACTGTGTAATAGTAGTTGAATAACCTGTTGTCAGTCGTCAAATGAAATTTGTTAGTGAAAAATTGCACTGCTTTGTAGGAAATGAAAATCGTGAAAGTATTTAGGTTTGGAAAATAGAAATTGGCTGCGTAACTTAATTTAATTGCACAATATTGGAGGTGTCTCATACATGTTTGACATTATATTATAATGTGTTAATTATGTTTTATGAAACTTCTTTTACTGATGCTAATTTCTTTACCAAATTTGTACAGGTGTTCCGAGTGAAGCCGCCCATGTGTATTAACAAGGATGATGTAGATTTCACAATCTCAGTATTCAGAGATGCTCTCCAGAAAAACTCTTCATAAGTTGAACATTATACCTGTGAAATATTGCCTAATAAAATGATTATGTTAATGAACAATTAAAGCAAGACTTGTTTGCAATCACATCAGGGCAAAGAAATGCATATTATTACACCTGTCACTTTAATAAAACAAAGAAATTTAATTTTACTTAGAAACTGTTTTATTAGATCTTGTTTGAAGACATTTGCTTATATTAAGCTGTCATTGTGTTCAAAATCGTTTTTTTTTATCAACTTCAAATTTTTTAAGGCAAGTTTTGTTATATTTTGGTCATATTTTTGCCATATTTTTTAACTTCTATTATTAAACACTTGATTTGATTGTATGTATTTCCATGGAATAAGAAAATTCATTGACCTTACAGTCCAAATTGCTCAGTAATATTGTTTTATTTTTGTAATATTTCATAATATTTTACACACAAATGCACACACTCACATGCACATACATTCTAAAATATTGTTTTATTGTAAAGAAATCTGATACCTTCTATATAAGTTGTTTGATATTCTCACATGCATACTATCACAGGATATGCAATATATCTGTTGTTCTCATTCAAGAATCTTTATATTATAATGTTATTCTTATCAAATCAAAACTGGCTATTATGTTTGCATATAAGAACATATCGTCACCTTAGTGCTTCAATGGGTTAAAGTCCTTCTAAATTTAATGGGATTTAACCAGTTATTGCACTAAAGTGACAATATTTAGATCTGAAATTCAGTCAGATAGAATGCTCTTCTATAATGGTGTTATTCTTTTTTGTTGTTTAATTATATTTTCAACAAGGAATTATTTGGGGAAAAAAAATTAACAATTTACTTGATATTTTACAATCACTGTGCTGAATCTTGGACTTGTCTGGCTAAGATATTTGGAACTGTTCATTTTCAATATTGGGGGTATCAAGATAGAAATGTTTGAGTTGCTTAATCAAGAGTATAGAGACTAGTTTGATTGCAAAACATAGACTGTTCACTTGTGGTTTACATTATTTTAAGTATTAAAGCCCACTTCTTAAAGGTCCTGTATTTATCTTTGGTGAGAAATGACCTTTATCCACATGATTCCCAAAATGTTAAAATATAATCATGGTTGTTAATGGCAAGTGGTTTCTATTTCTTAGGTGGTTTTAATACAGATGTGATAGTTTATTGAATGTGAGTCATGTATAGTACTTGGGCTATTTGTTAAAAAGAGATAATTCAAGATAAAAAAAATTACTGAAAAAAGATCATTGCCAATTTTTGCTTTTTATCATTGAATCATAAAAGTTATGTTTTTTTAATACTTACTATGCAAGGGTGAAGACAGCTATTTTTGTGTACTTTTGTACATGTAAGTTTTTCCATTTTGATACAGAATAGTTTTCTGTTTGTTTATATTTTATTGTTGTTTTAGATTATGCTCATCATATAGAGCTATTATATAAATTAACTGCTAGTCAGATATTTTTTTGTATATCTTTTTTTTCTTTATTTGTTTGAAATGCCATTTGACTGGTAAACAAACCTTTTTTACAACAGTCTGCTGTATTTTTGTTGTAGTTTAACTACCTTGTTTGAGAACAGTTTTCTGGTAATTATAAATATTTTTCCTTGCATTTCATAAAATGATATTAATTATTCTGGTTTTGATATTATATAATACATTTACTTTTTTGATTGTAATAAAGAAAATTCAAATGAGATGGAAGAAATATAATTAGATCTTTATGTTTTGCTCAACTGTCATTATTTTTACAGTGGTCTGTTGGTAAATAAACAATATTGTTTGCTGATCCATTTTTGTTGGAATATATTTAGCTTATAATTATATATATCTATATATTATATATATATCTATACTTGTTAAAAACTTGTTATTATATAAAGTTGCAGCACTGTTTAAACATTCCTTGTTAAGTATATTTACTGGGAAATGTAATATAATGAAATGATTTTATATCATATATGCATGTACACATATGTGTTATAGCACATATACCTAACTATTACATAGACCCTATATAACTACATGTATTAACTATACACAACGCTTTGAATTATTCATTGAATAAACAAATGCATTTATATATGTGTGATTACATATTTTAAAATTTACCATCATTTTTACAAACAGTACAATACTGTGGTAAAAACACTGTGCTATATAAGAGAGTATGTTAACGTATGGTGGCAAAGGCTAATCATTTTAGGTACCAGCCAAATAATGGTAAAGGTGGTGCTCAATAATGATAAAAGTGCCCATGTAATGGTAAAGGTGGTGCCAAATAATGGTAAAAGTTGTGCCAAATAATATAATAGTGGTGCCAAATAATGGTAAAAGTGGTGCCAGATAATGGTATATTTTGTTCCAGTGACACTAGTACCGCCTTGTCAAGATAACACACTCGCAAGTGTCAAATACAGACTGAATCAAATGTATTTCTTAATGCCTCTTAAAGGAAGGTTCTGTATAAAAGCAACATCTTAATTTAGTTTACACATGTACATTAAGTGCGCAAGCTATTTGTTTGTTATATAATGTATAATCCCTTCACGGTGCTAGTATAAGTGTTTTAATGTAATCTATAAACAGTTTCCCCTATACTTGCGTTGTTGTTTATTATAAGAACACTAGAACTATTGTTGAACTGGTTGAACTGTTATCATTCATCAGTTACATTCCTTATATGATATACTAAGCTGTACATATTATTACAAAGTAAGTCCTGGAACAACACATTGAACTTTGTTTCTTCCCAGTATTTACAAAGTGTAGAGGTTTTTGCTGACTATTAAGTGTTTGGTTCTTCACTTTGTACAAAGTTATTCTATGACATTTAATTAACCAAATTATTTTGTCAAGTGGGTCATTATTTGTTATCACAATGGTGTATACCAAGATGAAGTAGCCAGCCTTCTTGTTTAGAATGTCAGATAAACAGAAAAATTAATATTACACTAACCAGCATTGATGAATACGGCCCTTATGATAAACCAAGGGGATGGCATTATGATGAAAAGCAATAACATACATTTGACAATTATAATCCAACCGAAATAATACACCGCTAAAACCTGTATGCCTCCAGATGAGCCATATTTTCAGGCCGCTATTTTCATGAAATTTATTTTAAAGTTAAATATTGTGAAGTGAACAAATAATGTATTTTACACATTGGAAACGGCACGTAAATAGAAAATCAAACTTGAGAAAAATGTACTAAGATTTTAAGAAAAGGAAAAAGATATAAGTAATACTCGACATGTTACCGAATTAGCAGTATTTATTACTATATTTCTGCTAGGTGACTAACACAGTAAGGCTTATATTTGCAAATTTTGATCTCTTTCTTGGTAATTTACGTGGATTTTACGTGTCGTTTCCAATGTGTAAAATACATTCTTTGTTCACTTCACAATATTTAACTTAAAAAATAAATTTTATGAAAATAGCGGCTTGAAAATTATCATGAATACTGAGGCATGATGCTTTAAAGAAGTGTCACTTTATTTAAAACATTCCCAAGTTATACTGGACAGTAAATAATGATTTTACATACATTGTATAATTTTTTTCCGGCAAATTGAAAAAAAAAAATAAAAAAAAAAAATAAAGATGTTAACAATTTTATTTTGGCATTTTTCCAGACAATCGTCATTTTAACTGTAAGTGATATTGTCATACAGCCGTACCCTGAAATCCAATCAACCGGTAAATATCTATTGTTTTACATAAAAAAGTGTCATTTTAAACTTTAAATAGTATCACGTTTAAATGTTTAATAAACATTTCTTTCATAACAACGCAAATTGTTTTTATATGATCTTCTGAAAATAGAAAAGGAATTTTTTATAAGACTTGCAAGGTAAGCATCACAATTTCTCTTGAAGTAAATTATTAGATCTAATATTTATGATTATATGAATATTTTATCAATATTTTGCGTTGAATATAATTCATTATAATTATGGTTAAAGAAGAAACAGTTCTGTGGTCACTTATTTTTTAATCGAAAGTTGCAAATGAAACAAATATCGACAATAAACTGAGAAGTTGTATCGACTTTTTATGGGGATGTTTGGTAAATCGAATAGCCTTTATTTATTTCGTACTTATTCACTTTTCAAGACTAACTATTAGAAGTAAAAGTGAGTGCATGTAATTTGGATAGGCGAACGAAGTATAAAACCTGGTTGTATTGTCTTGCTATTTAATTAATGAATTAGCTTGTTAACGAGGAATGTTCGAAATCGCAAATATTTGATCTAGTACCCTTTTAACTTACATATTACTAAAAAGTAAAAGTGAGTACATGTAATGGACCTTTGCTGTCGTATATCCAATGTGCATCATTGAATTACATTTGACATTAACTATCACTCAGTAAAAGAATTAAAGTCATACACTGCACATAGTAATGCTACTCACAGTCAGAAAGGAAAGTGATTGGTTTACGACATTCGATTTACTGGCGTTGGATGCTATTTGTGATTTTGCAATGACGATTGTCTTGACCAGAGTATGCATGTTGCCAATTGTCCTCTACCGTTAAGTACAATGTTTTAGGCAGAACTTTACCCAGCTATAGCATAGACCTTCGGTATATATGAGGCAAAGCTGCCTTTCGCAGTTTCACTGACTCCCTACATCTATATTGCCTGACGCTCAGTCCAAAAACAAACCAAAGTTGATCCATTAGTCTGTTATAGTTTGTTTATTGATTGTTTGGGTGAAACTAACATTGTAATTCTTTGTAAAACTTTTACTGGATAAAGTTTTTTTGTAAGCATTCTGATTGGTTTTCCGTGCAGTTAATTGTCTTTTAATCTTGATTTTTTTGCTTGCAGGTAAAGTAAATAGGTGCAAGAACACATTGCATGCATTATATCAGATAAACGTCTGTTTAGAATAGAAAATAATAATTTAGATTATAGTACGACTGGTTTAAAGGTAAGGTTTTATATTGCTTTAATAGCAACAAGAGAATGACTTTGTCTGTTTAAATTTAAAAGATTTTGCTTACTATCCATAGTTCGGAAAACACATTTCAGATTAAGTCAATTCATTGAAAATACGTACGACGGTCTTTCAACAAGTTCTGTCACTTGCTCCAAATTTTGTAACTGCTACGATCCCCCTATACAGAAGTGATTTTTTGTAATCTCTCTGTCCAATTTCAAAAAGCTGAAAAATGATCCTTTGGAATCTGTCGCAAACATTGATAAATTGCTCTGCCAAAAGAAATCCTGGACGTACATGCATATCATTTACCATAGAGTATTGAAACAGAAAAAAGTCGCAGGGACTTACGTCAGGATAATGAGGCGGATTGTTTACAACGTTAACATTTTCAGACGCCAGAAAGACTTGACAGTCTTGCTTTTGTGAGAGGAGGCATTGCCATGTATAAGATGGACTCCTGACCATCCTTTGCTTGGACGCTTCTGATTGTAAAATGCCTATACTTCTTGCAGAACATAATTCTTGTAGAACTGTCCAGTGGCTGGTCCACTGGAATTTAAGAAAATCACATACAACATCTTATTTTTACTGACGATCCTTTTGGCAATTCAGGGTCGATTTTATCTCTTTGCAACCAATGTTTGTTATCGACCCTTCTTTGAGTTTCAAACATATGCACTCAAGTTGCATCACCTGTCAGCAAGTTAGAAAAAACCCGACAATTACAGTCTTTGTATGTTTTCAACAGTTCTTGGGCACAATAAAGGCGGGGTTTTTATGCCCCCTAGTTAGCAAATGGGATAGCCGCCTAGCGCAAACCTTCTTGGACGTCAGAATCAAATGAATATTGTCTTCTGATACGCCAGTACAACTAGCTTGTACTCCTTTACTGATAATCTTGCATTCTGTTCTATTATAACCTTCACAGCAGCAATGTTTGCCTTGGTAACCAAGGTTTTATGCATATCTGAACGGTAGTCATATTCAATTTCCCAGGTGTTAAAGCTTTGACCCACCTAAATATTATGCATTTTGTAATGACCTAAGATCCGTCTATGTCACACACTTCATTATATATCTACGTTACATTTATATCAAACCTAATGCGTCATTTAATAAAACTGTCAAATTTCAGTTTTGTTGTCTGACTTTTTACATTCAACTTAAACATATAGGTTAGACTAACTGTGTAGTTATAGTCTGATTTTATTGACCTGTCAATTATGAATACATTATAGGACTCATTTAAATATTCG